ACTGGAGCTGAAACAAGCACTAACACAAGTTTAGCACTAGTTTAGTGAAAACATTTTTACGTGTCAGTTATTTTCCTTTTTGCACTATTTAAGGCGGTGGCACGGCTGAAGTAATACAGTATATATTCAGCAACTGTTAGCTCACATAAATCAGTGGTCCTTGAATGTGAGTGGAGTATCACTCTAAAGTGAGCTCACAGTGTGCTTTTGGTGGTTTATGAGCTGCACTTTCATTGAAGCGTGGAACATTTGTGTTCTGCAGGGATGTCTGAGCAGTCTTATTACCACCATGTTGTGTGAGGACTTTTGAAAGAATATTTCCATAATGAAAGTAGAGCCAGTGTCCGACTCATTCTGCCATCCTCTATGCTGATTGTTTCATGCTGTTTTCTCCTCTCTGTGTGAGATAATTTACAAGGACACCACAATTTTGCATTTTCTAAAGGAATTTTTTTTTTTTTTAGTTTTTTTTTTTCAAGATGCAATATAACGGAACATGAAAAACAAAACTGACTGAAGATGGTGAAATTTTAACTTTTGAAAGGAATGTTTGATTGTTTAACCAATAAAAATATTTGCAGGTAAGTTCAGCATTACCTACAAACTTATTGTAAAATACACAATTCCATCATACATAACATAGGCTTATAACACATTGTTTATGCCAGATATTTAACAATAAAACATCTGGAAACATTGCTTGTTGTCAGCTTCCAAAGGTCCTCCTTGCAGGGGACGGCTGTCATCTGTGCACTGAGAGGTAACCACAGCAACAGCTCAAGGGGCAGTGATTGGCACTGGAGGTCCCTCCTGTTCCTGGCTGATTGTCGTCACTCAGGCACTAAAAGGAGCCTTAAGAACTTTATTTTTTTCCCAAATTGAAAACTGACTCATACATTACAGATACCCATGAAAGCAAAATAAATCCTGGAGGGCTACTTTTTTATGATTTAAAGTACAAAGCTTCTCTTTCACATATCTCTGAATCTAGTGGTTGTTGCATTTAACCAGCTTTTTTGGATCTCAGTTAAAAAAAAAAAAAAAAGTGGCCATATAAATCAAAAGAAAACCAACAGTTAACAGTAAAACTGCATTTTTATGCTTTAAGCTAATTTTCTTTTTAATTATGGTACTTACTAAATGGAATCGTTAAACTTTTTAAAACTGGGTGATTGATTAAATGCGGACATTTAACTTGATTTTTATTTTTTTAAAGTTATATCCATAATTATTGATTAAAATGTTATTCTGTTTAGCAGATTTTGCTTCATTTACTTTGGAGGGTCGTTGTTTTTCTTGCATGTGGAAAGTATACTATTGATTCTATTACATGTGTTATTAAATGTTAAAGTTCACAGAGAAGATTATAATATCCAGTCACTGCTATGTTCATCCAAAGACCTGAATGCTCCGCTTTTAATACCTCTTTTACTCTCTGTCTGTTATTCTCAGCACATCAGTCGATCCAGTCCGCCCTTCTAATGAATGGCATTCATCTAGCACCAGAAGTAATGTCATTTTACAATGCTTCATAGCAGCTAATAAACTCAGGATTGATTTGTGCTTATACAAAAACACATCAGGCGGAAACCATCACATCAGTAATAAATTGATGCTGATCTGGTCGTAGGGATGGAACAGCCAAATGCCAGCAGAGTTTTATTTATTTATATTTTTTTCATATTGGAGGCTCCTCAGCTCAGTAATCGATCTTGGTGCAGAGCCTTTTGTTCTCTGAAGTAATAAAGCAGCGTATTGATTTATTGGCGGGCGACAGTTACCTTTTGCCTTCTCCTCCTGTTCTATGTTTCATTCCCCTGTCGGGTCTCCAGAGAGGAAAAGTTTGGTCTGTACAAAAGCTGAAGCACTACACTTTAAGTAAAAGCACATCCATTCTGACATTGAGATTTAGACTCACTGCAGAACTACTGCAGGAGGTATTGATCAGGACAAGCACATATCTGTGAAATGGATGTTTCTCAGAGCAGGGGACTTTGTCATTATTCACAAACGTGCCGATTTATTTTCTCAGTATCACAAATGGTAAAAGTGGCAACTTGTAGAACATACAGAGAGAGAGAGATTCGAAATTTTTTTGTGTACAATCTCTCTTGATCCTGCAGCATCCCTGGTCTTCTCTTATGAACTTTTCTTGTCTGTTGTCCACATAAGTACTCTTAAGGATTTAGGTCTCCCAACAGAGATGGTGGGAGTTTGATTTTGCGTTCATTTAACCATTTCTGTGTTGACTTATCCAACTGTTTTAGATCATTGTCCTGTTAAATGGCCCAATGGTGACCCATTTTCAGTTTTCTGGTAGGGGCCGCTGAGCTTTTCAATGACAAAGACTGGATTTTCCTGGAGTCCATGATGCTCTGAAATCTTAACAAGATCCACTGGGTGTTTGAAGGAAAAACTGGCCTACGGTGTCACAGATTCTCTATATTTATACTTTGCAGTGGAGAAATGTCTTGTCCACTGCACTTCTATGTCTTAATCTTTTGTTACAAAAAAATCCCCCTCTGCAGGGTTTGTTGCTGAAAACTAAAATCCTGGCCCTATATAGATTACAATGCAGAGTAACTAAAATGTTCAGATGTGCCTTATTTTATCAGTGAATACGATAAAACACTTTCATCTATTATGTGAATCACAGAGTTTGATAAAAATGTGGTTTTAAAAGTTATTTTGGAGTTTTCTCACTCTTGCTACATTGGAGTAAAACTGTATTTCCATCATATTTTAGGAATTAAAGCTGATGATTACGCACAACTGCTGTATTTCTTTCCCAGTAGGCTTTATTTACTTCCTAAGTTTGAATATTTCCCTATATTTTACTCTTACTAAGTGAGCTTGTATGAGTTGATGGTTAAAGCCCAGAAGTTCCCAAACTATGTGCTGAGAAATCTGAATCTACTTTTGAGAGAAGGTCCAGAAATTAGCAAAAGTTCACTTTATGTGTACAACTGTTTATTTGTGTCTCTGCGCTCCTATAATTTCTGACAGTACAATTTATTAACCTTATGGAAATTTTGTGCTTTTACTCTGCCAATTAAATCACATTTCATATCTTGTTACTTTACACACATGAATAAGTAAACTGAACATAAAGTGCTGCAAAACATCGAGTTTAATCTTAAAGGTAGGAAATAAATTACTGTGGAAAAAGTTTCTCCTTTCAATAATATGCCTAAACCATGAGCTATGAAGCTAGTTCATGTTTTTTTCTTCCATTTTAATTTTTTTAAAATTCCCAAGTTCAATTTTTATTTTTCATAATTCCATGCTGTACAAACAAAATACATTCTTAGTAAATTCTTTTTTAATTTAAAAATAATTAATAAATTTCAACAACAAGAAATGTTCCTGCTTTGTAGAAGGATCTTAATATTGTCTTAAAGCTAAAGCTAAATTATCTCTTGGGTATTTTCATTATTAAATGACAGTACACATGTCATTTTTTCTAAAATGACAATTCAGATTTTAAATTCCATACTTTTGGTATAAAATTATCCACAATAGTTTTAAGTTCCAACTTGAGCTTTACAATTCTATTGCTTCTGGAGAGTTTGGTTTGCTACAACACATCAGCTAAAACTTACTAACAAAGCTGTTTTCTTGCTTCATAGATGAAGTACTTTGCTTTGCAAGTAATTATTATTAATGATCGGTGCAATGGTGTTTCAGGTCTCTGTCATACGGTTGTCGCTCTGAGGAAGAGCTGAGATCCATTTGAGGGCCAACGGATTAGATAAGTTACAGTAACAAATAAGACATATTCTATTTCAGTTTTCTTTCAAAGTGAATGTGAAAGTATAAAAACTCTTGTAAGGCATCTTGTTGTCTGGGGATTTATTATATCAAATGCACAAATTAAATATTTATGTAAAAGTTTCTTCCGGGTTCAGTCAAACAGAAAGTAAGACACTGTTACAGTCTTTCTGTTATAAGAGGTCTTGATCATAATGTGGATTGAGGAGAACGCTATTAGCTGGATTTGTAGTTCTCGACTATCGTAAACTGACAAACAACAAAATGTCAGAGATTTTCTAATCAATATTTTCCTATATAATCATATTGTCACAAGAAAGACTAGGGGAACTGCTGGGAAAAAAGCAACTTACAAGCAGTAATAAATTATAGTGAGCTGCCTCGACAGGAAAGGTTTTTAGGGACCAGTCTGGTTATTGCTCTATGAGCAGAGTGCTGTTAAACATTGTAATTATGGACGAACTACCTAGGGATTTTTTTACTTTGCTGGAGGAGGCACAGACACTCTTTAGAGGCATGAATAAATACATAGATATATTTAAGTCCCGAACATCCTTTTTCCTTAAAAAAAAAAAGACAATTCAACTCCCAAATTCCTCAGACTGTGGAGTTTTTAAAGCATTTTTCATAAAGATGGGGAATATTCACACTGATTTTTTTTTTGTCTCAAATAATCTTTCCTCCACAGTTCTTTTCAAACCAACCAAAAACACTTTTGAACATTTAATAGCCCTAGGTTGACACAACATCACAAAGGATTCACAAACCAGAGCATGTGTCCCTAAATATTCTATGCCTGCTCTTCCTATGCTACGGTGCAGGACTCATTTCCTCTGTGTAATTGACACCGCTTCTTTCAGGTAATAGACATGCTGACATTTTGTAATGCATTCCAGCACTTACATTTCATCAAACACTACTCATCCATAAACAGCCCCCATCCAATGTAGCTTTTGACACAAGTTCGAGTTGATGGGAGGAGTAGACAAATTGAGGTGATGACTGTTAACCTTCACAGGCGCTTGACTTCCCTTTGGTCCATAGTGTCACTGAAGCTCATACAAGCTCCCTGATTAGAGATGGCATGTTGCACCTGACATTAATACAGCTGATAGAATCTTTGACCTACAGTGCATAAGCAAAGCATTTGATCAAGGACTGAAAAGCCCTCCAGGTTTTTGTATCTCTTTAGCTTTATTAAATTACATTTAAACTGGAAACAATGGCAATAAGATTGAACTCAAAGAGAGAACTGAACATTCAAAAGCAAACCTGTAAAACTAAACATAGGGCTGCAAAATTTAATTTAAAACCTGTGACTTTTCAGCATTCAAAATTAATAAAGTCTTGCTGCAACAAAATGTCAAATGGTTTACCCTCTATGTGAGTTATGGATTACTTTGGGAAACTCAGAAATTAGTTATTTTTTCAAATTAGTAAGAATAAAGCTAAAAGAACACTACTGCAGTCTTGCTGTTATGCTATTTAGAATTGACTGACAGAAATAAAAATAGATTTGCTTTAAAGACTCCATTGTCACTTGTAAGAAGTGAATTATGCTGCAGTTTAAATGGTCTTGAAAGTAAATTTATAAAATTAAGACCTCTCCTCAAGTCTTTTTAAATTTCTTCTTGCTGTATATAACAGCAAGAAAAACAGCTGATATACACAGCTGTATAGCTTGCTTAATTATTTTGAAATGTGGTCTCTTTCAGTCCAGCAGGTCATACTTCATGCACCTCATGTTTGTGAACAGTTTCCAATTATACCCTATTGTGTTTTAAACTGCCAAAACCCCCAACAAAATCACAGCAAACAAGAGCAAGATCAAATGCTTTAAAAACCTCAACAATTAATATGACAAGCAGTAATCATGCAGTTACTTTGCAAAAGATTTCTGATCACTCATTTCTCCTTGAAAAACTAAGTTAGTTACTTTAATGACTATTTCATTGTAAAAGTAACTAAGTTACATTGCAAGTTACATTAGTAGTTATATTCAGCAGCTATCAACAGCAGGCCCTGCTGCCACAACATAAAACAACCAAGGCGAGTCAACTGTATTTATGGGCAAATAAAACATCATACGGGATTTTATGTTAACATCATCCCTCTCGCATATGAAAAACATATGAGATGACTGTCCCAAAGTTCCAAAGGCTTGGACCAAACTTGGAACATGACAAGTTGCAAAATTGATGATGCAAAAACTGTACAAATAACCTGCAGAGTTCTGCAAAGCCCAGGTAATATAAGAAATAACTCCACTTCATATTTACATTGTTAAAAGGGGTTGTGGTTATTTTAAATATAGTTTTAAGAAAACATCCAAGTTATGGAAATTTTGTGGCCATGAACGAATTTAATTACACAAACAAACAACATTGAGTGCAGGATAATGACACTGATTAAAAATAGAGCACTTTGCTTTGCTCCTTCTTCTCAGAATACTTTGACAAGGTGACACAGCCACATAAAGCCATTTTGTGCAAGCATGGTTTGGTAATGGGTTGCTTTGCATTTGAGTGGAACAGAAATGCAGCATGCTGTCTGAGCTAATTTGTATTTGTTCTAAAAGTGGACACACTGCTGAAGTTGCATGTCAGCAGTACAATAGCAGCAGCTACTGTCCTCTGTCAGTGTCTATACTGGATCTGTTTAACCACAGCTCAGTGCTGTGCACTCGTGGCTGCTTGACAGAGCTTACAGCTCACTACCCAACCATATGTGTTTGCATAAGGGAGTTAAAAATGTTCACAACAAAACAGAAAAAAAAAACACTGCATTATTGCAAATTCTTTGTACTTCTTCAAAAACAGAAAAGATAAGAAAAATGGAAAACTGAACTAAAACACATTCAGTCAGCCCTTATTCATAACATACAGCCCATTCAACTGAATGCTTGACTGGAAAGCAAGAATACATTTTTTTTTTTTTTTACTGTTCCTTCCTTCAGAATAGACAATGTAAAACCCACTGCATTATTAACCCCTAAAAGATTGTATTGAAAAGTTTAAATCACCGGGAAACATAACTTAAATTAAATAAAATAACTTAAATAAAATGAATTCAAATACCATAACTATGGGCTTCTTCTAGTCAAAGCTGTTTGAGCAGCTTATATTTATCTCCAAGCCTTTATGATGATGAAACCTGCTGTGTTATGTTTCACAACACTGAAAAATAACATTTCCGAAAAAGGGATATATATCTCTAAATTGTATTCTTGAATCAGAGAGTGGGATATTGATGTATACGCACGATTTATACTTTGATTTTGACCCACAACCATCTCTTGTGTTAAGAGAGAAAGACTCAAAAAGTTTAAAAAAAGCACTTTTGACAAGTGAGATTTTAAGAGCATCATCTTCAGTTGTGCAACACATTGAACCATGAAGCAGATTACAACAGAAGACCTCACAGGGTGCTACTATGGCTGCCAAAGAAAAGGAACCAAGGCAACAATTCAGTCTATCATCTAAAATACGTAATATAAAAAAACAACAACTGGATGTTGCCTGGTCCTATGAGTTTCAATGTAAGCTGCAACATTCAGTCTGATTTTGGCTAAGAGGTGTTAATGTGCATCATTCATAGGAACGGACTGTTCAGTTTTTGCTTTCCATGGGTCATACTTTTCCTCCCAAATATTGTAGTGTACCATTGGGTCAGAATGCGATGGAAAATGGGACACAAAAATGATTACACATTCATTACTCTGGACTCAGGTATCGATATAAGCATGGTACCAGCTGGGGTCTGGCAGTTGGGGATTCCCAGTTAAAATATTACTACTTAGCTCGGTATTGGTGCTGATCATGTCATGCTCATACTGCATGTAGCCAAAAAGAAGACCGAATGGAAAAGCTCAACTAAGAAATCTGAAACTGTTTTGTTTCTGTGTATTCATTATTCTTCAGAACTCTAAAAAGATACTAAATCCCAATCCAACAGAACACTTCTGGGATGTAATGGGATGGAAGCTTTGCATCCTGGATGTCCAGATGACACAGTAACTGTGCTGCACCACTATGTTGATATGATCCCAAATCTGAGGAATGTTTTCAACATCTTGCCATACAGGACAACAGTACTAGCAATGTGTACCTGATAAAGAGGTTAGTAAATGTATCTTCTTGTTCAGGGTGTTTTTTTCTCTGTTTTAGAGGCATTTAAGTATACTCCTCACTTAGAAAAGCCAAAGTTAATCAGACAAAAGGAAATGATACTTGTTTTGTGGCATTGAAAGAAATTCTCAACTTTTCAGTGGATCAACTCTGTTATAACATGATGTCTTTAATATCAATTTATCTACAAAATCTTGTTTTACACCACTGCAATCTTCAAGTCATGGAAAGTGCACAGTCACTAAAGCAAAGAAACATATAAAAATACAAACAAACAGAGAGTACCATTTTAACCATAAAATGTCTATTCATTTAGCATTGGTACTTACAGTATAAATGAGCAGAATCATATTGAAACAGGATGGTTCAGCTGTATGCAGTGGTTTCTGAGTTTCTACAGCAGAAATATTATTTTGAGAAACAGTTGTGCATTTTCTCAAAGATTCAGCCCATTTTTTCACATGGCACTGAAATGGGCATTGTCCAGTACATTCTTCAGCTGTCCATGGCTGGTTGCCTCATGATTAACCATAGAGTTTCATAATTAATAGAGACAAAGCACATGTGTATGCATCTGTATCAAGGACTCAAAAAGTTTTCCTTGTACACAATTTACAATTGAGTTTTCAACCAGCTGTTAACTGCACAGCTTGGTGGTCTCATATTCCACTGAATTAGGTAAACGTGCGCTGAAGGCCTGCAAGGAGGCAAAAATGCGAACCACCTCACTGGGAGTGAGTTTGAGCCTGTGGCGGAGGAGACAGGCGAACAGGTCCATCTTTTGTTGGCCTGCAGGGGAAAGGCGATTCACGCGATCTCGTATTTCCAAGAGTTGAAGGATGGCCGTGTCCTGGGAGCCCTGTGTGTAAGGGTAGTCCAGTTGGAGGATCAAGTCACGAATTGCCTCTGGGTCAAAGTGCATACTGTAGCCAAACACTTGGATGCTGTTTATCTTCATGTAACCCAGGCTCTGAGCAGGATCAGTAATTTCAGCAGGTTCATAATAAACACTGTCATTTGCTCCATCCTGAGTCTTTATCCGGCTCCGAAGGTAGATGTGGATAGTTTCAAAGAATGTCTTCCACTTGTTACCCAAGGTCAAAGTCCAGTTGTAACACTCGAAGGGTAGGTCCAATTTAGTGGCCTTCCAATCTGGAAAACCATTCTCATTGACGGGGATGTACCAGCTCTCTGAGTGGCTCCCACCAAAAGGGTTAATATAAAGAGTGAGAGCGGGCTCCAGGGTACTGTTCTTTGTAAGGCAAACTTGAAGGGATATTCCAAGCAGCATATGAACCATGTTGGTTTTATATTTGTTGCTCTTTAGCGTCAACAGCATCCTCTTCCTCCATGACGGGTCAAACCAGCTGTTCAGTCTCATGTCATTGCTGATGAAAATAGCATGAACCTGTGTGACCGAAAAGACACAAACAAATCCAATTAATTTATTTAAAAATAATGATGTGTATTAAATGCATGCTACTTTTAGAAAGCTTTATATTTATGACATTATCCTTATAAAAATCACTGAAAGAAGATGAAGAAATTGTATTGTACAGAGTTGTACAGTTCACACTGTGCAAACTCCATAATTTTCAAAATCCTCATTAGAGTCTATGTAATACTGTAAGATTCAATAAAATCCTAGATGTATATGTATATATAGAATATGTACAATATTAAATGAACAGCAAGCCTTGCTGGTGTTATTAGATTTAGTTTCTGAAAAGGAAGAAGAAAGCTAGCCTGGGAAAAAAAGAGCAGCAGACACACTTCACACCTCTTTGTCATAGAAGTTCAAGACCTTCAATTTTCTTAAGATAAGAATCATATTTTATTTTGTCAGGGAAACAAATGAACCAATCCAAAGCATTGCTTATTAATTTTTTCTTCACTACATCTAACAACTCTCTTAGAATTTGTTTTTATGATGTTAACAAAAGACTTTTTTTTTTATATATGAAAGCTTTTATTTTTAACAACTTCCCATCTGAACCATACATTTTACTTTCATCCAGAGATTTTCTTATTAACTAAAACATTCCATTTTTTTTCTTTCATTCTTTTTGTTATAGATTTGGAGTGTTTATTCAGATCTTCTAAGTTAATCCTAAGCCTAAATCTTTGATTTGGATTTAAAAAAAATAAATAAATAAAAATCACATAAACAGATGTAAATCATTAATTTACAACACAATATTTTGAGGTACTAAAGAAGGAAAAGTACCCTGACCCTTATTTCTTAACATAAATTTTGATGTTTTAATACTTTTGGTGTGACATCAGGAGAGAATAGAAGAGAAATGTTGGTGGCAAAACTCAGAGTTTTAGCCATAAATGTATGATCATTGTATGTAATAATGTGAAACTTATACAGATTTCTTCTGTAACACAGGAATTTTCTAACAGATATTTAATGAAAGAAGCATGAGAGAGAATACACTCTTAAAAACCTGTTAGCGATCCATGAGGCCATGCTGGTCATTGGGTCGATTGTAGCTCAAAGGGAGTAATTGTCTTACAATCCTCAAATTGAGCTCAGGGTCTTCCTTTAGATGTGCCTCTGTACAAGGCATTTAACCCCTTGAAAAGAGCTTTATATGTTCAGTCAATTTTGTATTTTATTTTTTGTTGTAAGCAAGGTTTGAAAATGTAATATATATCTTTGAAGTTAGGATTTGCACCTCCTTTCTCTAAAATCTTTTGTGAACATGAATGATTTGAAGAAGTAGGGTCCAAGCCTTTTGCTTCCAGTACACAAGTGCTTTTAAAAAAGAGAGAAGACATGCAGAAAATGTTGTCAGGCTGAGACTCAAACTTGTGACATCTGTGTCATTGACATACACAGAAGACAAGTTCAGGGTCAGAAGATATGCACCTGCACCAGCATTGGGATTAGTGAAGATCCTCTTTGTACCACTGCAAGAATCAGGTAGATCTTTGAGTTGTTTTGTTTTGTTTATTTATTTATATTTGTTGATGTTTATACAAAATGTTTATAAAAAATCTAACTGGCCACAAGAGTGGGGAAATAATTAATAGCCTTTTGTTTTGTTGTTGTATGATCAGACTTTGGAGTAAACTAGCAGGATACATCCACTTCTTGCAATATCGGTTGCTGTCTTGATTTTCATCCACTGGTAAAATGTCTTAATGAATAATTGAACACCAGCATTTGCTCTTCTAAGACCTCTGCAAAAGTCTCTTACGAATACAGTTAAATGCTACAAACCACGAAACTGTCAAAACATGTTAGACTGTTGGCTTTGGAGCCTTTGCACAAGATTCTCAAATTAATTTCAACTATCACCGGGTTGCTTTTCACTGTCTTAATTTCTTTTCAAACAGTAAGCATGTCTTTTCAGGAAGTTGAATCCAGATACTTTCTTATGAAAGCTCTTTTCAAAAAGTGTAATTTGCTTTATGAGCAAGTTTTATGTCATAAATTAAAAAAAACATTTCAGTATGTCGTGTTATTCTTTATGTGAAGTTTTATGTATTTGAAGATGTTTTATTTGGTTTAAAGAAATTGGGTTAATTGATCTAAAAATGCTACCTGTCAAATGTACCATCACTGTTTTTAATGTGCTGTGGCATCCACATAGAAGATCTGCACACACAGTTATACTTAAAGTCCAACAATATTTATATATTCAATATCTGGCAAGGTCAAACAAATAAATTAAACACACAGATATTACACAGCTAAGTTTGACAAAAACAACAAATAGATTCCATTGAAAAACAGTGTAACAAATTGTTAAACAGAAATGTGGAGAAACTATAAAGCTTCCCTTTGCCAGAAGCTGGCCACTATACAATGGATTCCCAGGAGTCTGTGTGTCTTTTTTTCTAGGCACAGCTCAACTAGCAGTGAACCTGACATCATTAAACAAAAGCGAACAAAGGGATACCTCAAGCCTGCGGTCTGCTCTCTGCAGTAGGTAGCCTAACTCCAAATCTTGGAGGTCCGTCTCAAAGCCCAGGTAGTTCTCTGTGGAGTCTGCCACCATAGCTCTGCAAGCCCCTTGCATCAAGGCAAATCCTGGGTTACAGCTTCCACATCGGGTGTGGTTGTCTGGTGCACACACTGCACAGGCTGAGCCTTCGCCAACAGAGCAGGGTGGGGCGACTGACAGGGGCTGTGTTCATATCGGCAGCTGCAGCTGTGAAGCTCCTCGGAGAATGTTCCAAGTTGGTTGTTCTCTGAGCAGTACAGGAGGGACTGGATATGTCCTAGCCAGTAGGAGTGAGGCCTGCAGGAATGACAATAAGTGATATAAAGAGATCAAAATACACTTTCAACATGAGCTGGTTAACTGGGGAAAAGCTTTACAAGACACCTGTCTTATAATAAGCCATCAGACAGCTGGCTCATTATAAATATACAAACCAGAGAGAATTTAACTAATCCTGGTTCAGGTTATTTTCAGATCAAGAGAAATGTATCTAGAAAATTTGCCCAACATTTAACACTGTTCTATCATGATGTGTTGTTTACCAGGAATATCAGTCTACATTTTCCTCTCTGTTTGAGATTCTCATGAATGTTTATGAATTTGAACTCCTGCCATGCTTGATGATTATTAAAGAAAATGACAGACATACAGAAGAGCAGAGAACGTTATCTTTGATCAATTTATGTCATAAATATTAGAAGTGCACTGTAGCCGGAGGCTAACTTAGTTTCAGACATGCACACAATTCCCCAATGTGAATTGTAGTTTTATTACTGCAATTTTTCCACCATGATCCCTTTATGCCTCTTATCATCTTTGCTTACAGAAGAGAAATGATCAGCATGTAAAAGCTGCACTTTTGTTTGGAAAAAAAAGCATTGTTTATAAGTTTGTATTGAGGAAAACTTTATGCTAAATTTAAAGTGTTTGTAAAGTGTTTTGGAAAATTTATTAAATTTCATTGAGAAGTTAACCAAAGTTCAGAAATTTTGAGATTTTAATAGTAAAATAAAATGCAGCTTCTGTGAAATGAACTAAAAGCACATTTTCTCTACTTCACAGAGGACCTGTGGATAAGCCAACAGCTTTAACAGAGTAAAGACAGCGAAGGCTCTGATAGTTTTCTGTTGTGATCTTTTAGGCCTGGAAAAAACTTCTAAGAAACTGTCTCCTTTAAAGGCTATTACAGAATTTAATTTGAAAAAGGCTGTAAACATCCAAAAAGATAAGAATCTTCTCCATAAGAACTATAAAAAAATACTTTTTTTAAGGAAGCAAAAGTTTTAAAAAGGGGAATTTTAAAATATATACATAATTTAAAAGTGCAAATTGTTTAAGTTATTTTATTTATTAGTTCCTTTGCCCTGCAGTACACATATTACATTGCCATTAGCGTGTGCAGAAGAAAACATATCCAACTTTCTTTTACGTTATTAGTTCATGTAGATTTTTTTTTTCTTTTTGCACTTTACAACCATCTGGAAAGGCATATATCTCTGGGATGTAATGCGAGTAATGAGTAATGAATATGTATCATCTAGTTTCTTAAACTAAGTTTGTAATTATCCACCTGACCCTGGAGATCCATTGGCTGATGTCGCCAGTGCATCTGCTCCTGCAACAACTCGGCAAATTGTCACCTGACAAGGTCGTCACAACTAACTGTGGGCACATACTATCTTTGCTGCTTTCGCACAATTGACAGCCTGTCGCAAAATCCAAAAGTTTCTTCTGCTCTACACAAGAGTGGACTGAGAAGTCACATCTACTGACTCAGACTGACAAGAGCACACACTGTCAACCAAAGTAACTTTAGCTTTATATGAAAAATGTTTGGCTTAGAAAACAGCAATAAAATTTAATAAAGATCCTTTGTGAGTGGATGGCTTATATAGCTTTGTACCTTATCAATGTGAGGAAGCTCCTACTGGTTATCTTACTGGTCTCAGAACATCACTTCAAAATATCCTGCCGCCTTAAATGCATAAATCATATATCTATGCAGAAGCTCATGTATAGGTTTGAGACAATTATCACTTCTTATACAAAATGAAGACTGCTGGAGACTTCAGATCTTTGCTGCAGCTCTCCGTCTCTGCCCACTGCTGCTGCCTGTTAGACTCCGCTCTCCTGGTGAGACACGTTTAATCTTAAATAACTGCATTTTCTCTGTCTCCTCTTTCACTTGCATCTTGTTTCCCAGTTAGTTCTCCATGCAATTATAATCACATCTTCCCCTTTTTCAGTTGTCAGCTTGTCGGTTTTCTCTTGCTGGAGTCTACGGCTGCATTTATGCCCATTTTGCTTGTGTCCTTGTTTTCCATTTCTATTGCCACTCCTTTGTTAGATGATGAATATGATTTCAGATAGGGTTTCTGTCTGAGCTCAGGAGTTTCTTGCCTGCTTATACATTTTTCTTTTCATCTAACTATCATTCATGTCTACTTTTGTATCTCACTTTGCAGCTTAAAATGTTGATCTCTAAGAAAAAAAAAGTGACAGACAGCATTTCTCTCTTGAGATGAATTTCCCTGTGCCTCATGCTTTATGAAAAACAAAGTAAAAAACGTAAACATAATTGAAATTACAATTTGGAAAAAATAATGAAGGGGATGTTTGAAAGTACTTTCTGTAATAAGTGAAGATTTTGCTTTTCACTCCATTAAAGTCTTTTCTAATCAGTGTCTTTAGTTACCATAGGGAGGAGACTCTTCTTCATGCAGACTTAGGACATCACTGTATCTAACAGATTTGAAGTAAAAATAGAATTCCTTTGAACCAGCCTATTCATACTATGACTGAGAATTATGACAACAGGCTACCAAATAAGAAATCACAGGGAAAGTTAATTTTCCACTCAGGAATTAAACCAGTATGCAGATTGCACACTGTTAGTTTCCTTGTCTGAAGGCTTGACTGTTAAGGGTCATTATACTTCCTCAAGTGAACTTGAGAATTTGTGTGGTCATTGCAATTAAACGCTTTTTAGACAATGTTTTTATGGAACCACTAAATAATGTGCCTTAGTCACAGAAAAATTGCTACATAGAAACTTTTATTTTTTTAGTCATTACTGATGTGCCCCCTATTACTGGTCAGATTGCTATTTAACGACTACCAACATCTTCACTGTTATATCTGTAGAAACGACACATGTGGAAGCATTGTGCTGTTTCTTCCAGATCACCTGCCGTATATTCTATTTTCTGTTACTAATACTCTTTCATATTTTGTCATGTTACATCTGTGAACTTTTAAGTTTTTCATAGGGAATTTATAAAACAGACACAAAAATGCATAGTTATGAAGTTGAATGAAACTATTTCATGATTTTCAACATTTTATACAACTATCTGGCAACCTACCAAAATTGAATTGTGATCCAAACAAAGAATTTTACGAGGAAGCAGAAAAAAGACCCAAGGCAACTCTGTAGGAGCCTCAGATATCCACGTATATGGTAAGAGTCTATCCACCTAACAACTCTTGGTAGTGCAGTTCACTAATCAGATCTTTATGAAGTACTAGTGGAAATGGAAATGGAAAGCTCCAAGAAGTTATGTTTACAATTTGCTAGTCAAATACAGGAAACAAGATGTGATGTTAAAAATAATTATTTAAAAAAGATGTTTCCCTTCGTACAAAATGTAATGTGTTGTAGAAAATTGCATGTCCACCAGTATGATTCTACCTCAACGGGTGGTAGAATCATAATGTAAGAATGCTTTTCATTAGTGAAAACAGGGAAGCTGATCAGAGTTGAGAAGAAGATGAGTGAAGCTTAATACAAATAGATCTTTGTATTAAATAGTTTTTGCCGCCTTAAAATATTTAAGACAGCAAAAGACTTAATACATGAATACAGTTTGGTATTCCACAAGGTTTGTGAGCCTAAACTTAATATCCAAAACTGCAATGGGATGGTTATTAATAAATTTGAAAGGCATGCTTTTCAGATTTTTATTTGTGAAAATGCTTCATTTTGACTTTACAAGTCACTCGATGTGGGTCTATGAAATATAATTCCAATGAAATCACTAAACTGTGAGGTTGTAATATGACTAAAAGTAAAATAGTTAAATGCTTATGAATACCTTTCGGAATGTCGCGAAAGGTATTCAGAAGGTAAGCATGCAAAATCAACCAGTTTTTCAACCCACGCAAGATAAGCAAGCAAAGTCAATCATGAAGTAAATGTACATAGAATCAGATTAAAAGATGTGATAACTATAAATTCAGTTTGTCCTTCATGCGAGATTAAATTGCATGAGACATGACCATAAATCTAAAGACAACATTTATAGAAAATTTAGCCTTGAAAGGATTATTAAAAATCTATAAAATAATTTTAGAGTGAATTTCTTACAGCGTTCAACAAGTATTTGGATGATAACAAGATCCCTTCATAAAAGCCTTCAAACAGTCTGGAAGATGCATATGAGGAAACCGCTTTCTGAGAAGCTTACAGAAAACATAAAAAAAAGATCTGAGTCTGTCGTTTCAATCATTAATGCAAATAGTCAAACTTTGAGCAAAAATGTGCTGTGCCTCTAACATAAGACAAGGGATGCAAAAATCAATCACAAATCATTTGTTAATCTCAGGTGTAGAAAATAGGATGTCGATGAGAGACCTTCTCCTCTCTCAAAGGTGCAAATATTCAGCTCAAAATGGCTTTCCATAGAGAGTTAATATCACCATGTAGAGAAAGAAAACCTAGGAGACAATTTAAAGATGATGTGGTTGTAAAAACTGAGATAAGCAAGGTTTAGAAGCTGGCGACAAAACTTCCTGCTGTGGAAGGCAATATCAGCTGCATAGATAAGCGATTAATGTGAGTTTGATATTGTGGAAGAGAAACCAGAGCAGTTCAGAAGCAGGAATGCTGAGAGAGAAAAGAGACCGAAACTGTATGTCAAGAACCCTCTATGGATTAATCTGGCAGTTGATCTATGTGCTGTTGCCACCATTGCTACTGCCATTACTGTGGTAGCTGAGCTGAACTGATGTAGCATGACTGACAGTGATGGCTAGAAGCATCACCTTTTGCAAACACCCCTTCAGCGCCCTCGCATTGGCTTGTCTAGGTTTTACTGACAAGTGACTGTTTTCTGGTACAGAAATAATGACTGTCTTTCCTTGACAGTAAACACTGAAGGAGCCAAGCATAGCTATAACACACCACATCGCTATGAAGGTGGTTGGGGCGGCCAAGGCATATAAAAGTTTAGCTTTAATACCAGTGTTTTCTTTATTTTTCTGAAAACTTTTAATTGCTCATTTGATTATTTTAGTGAATGTAAAAATGTCTTCAATAAACCATTGCTGTTTATGTGAAAAAAAATGAAGCCCCTGATATAGGGGGCGTTGGGTATTATTTCTAAAAATAAAACATTGGCCTCACTAAACTGTGAGGCCAGTGACAAAAAAAAATAATTATAAAATATTTTAAAAATCTAACTGTATTCTAATGACGATATACTAATGATGAAAAAAATGACCAAACCATCCAACTTCTCAGGGAGGTTGGTGCTTACCTTATAAAAAAATGAGAGAAAAAGAAAGAAAATCATCACTCTATATAGTTTAAAGTGAATAAGAATTACATGACAAAAGCATGTAAAAACACAGCTGTAAATTTGGGATGCACAAAGTGGAGTCACTTAAAGCAGGGGTTTTCATTCTGTAAACTTTTTGTTGTTGTTATACTTATTATCCCATTCACATATTTTCCTGATGTTGTGGGATTTACCTGCTTAAGCTGTGGGTATTGCAATGCAAAATGATGCTTGCGTTGCCTTGTCATTTACAGTGACAAAAGTATGAACTACTTTTTGCTGTGACTGCAGTTCATTTACCCTCCAGTCAAAAACCTCCCAGAGCTCAGTAGATAACACTGTGGCAGAGGAGCATCTTCAGATCTTGTATTTCCTTCTTTTTTTATGTGTTTGGCCCAGATTCTGTTTCCTTGCTCACCTAAATGGTAGAAAAAAAAACAACTATCCATTTTATTGCTGGCAAAAACTTGGTGAAGTTGGCTAAATGTTCACAGTTAAATTTTTTTAGTTACTCTTTAAAAACCCCTGACTTAAGCAAATATTTAACATATAAAGAAAGAATATAAATGTGTCCTCACCGCTCTCTTGGTATCCGAATTTGAGGTTGTCTGTGACATCTTTTACTGAGACTGAAGAGCTTGAAAATAACTCTTTGGGCTCGTTTGGAGAGGACCCGCATGCTGTTCTCAAGCTGCTCATACCGCCACTGGAACAGGCTGTCCAAGGACCACAAGTGTTGAATAGATGACACATTCAGGAAGTAGCTCTGTGGCAGTCTGGTGTAGAAGGCTTTAAATTCATCTGTAGCAACAATAATCAGGGTCAACATCATCAGAGTGTTTATGTTCTGAAACATGGCATCAGCACAGCAGGACAGGGACTTATATGTAAAGGACAAAATTGTGTTAAAAATTATAGACAGAAACACCACAATTCAGTTTAGAAAATATTTTTCCAAACAGAAAGAAGCCAATTCCTGATATTTTTAGAAATCATATTTAATGAGGAGTGCAAGAAGTGCGGTTTAGCACCATTTGCATAACTCTGTCCAATATCAGCACTGAATTGTACTTGTACCTGTAGCACAGGACTCATGAACATATTTAGGTTGGCAGTTTCAAAAGTAGTTAGATGTGAGAATTGAAGTTCATATTTACAGAAAAAAAAGTAATACTGAATTTTAGTGAACACGTGAATGTGATAGAAATTTACCTGACATTTTCCTGTATCAATGCAAAAAGTAGTTACAAGAATTCAGGAAATCATATTCACTTAGAAGTCATTCCGCCCATGTTTTGTATGAGTCTTGCATACATAAGTCTTTTGGAAACTTGTACTTTTCAGAAGCCAAAGTTTAGTCTATCAGGGTTGGGAAAGTAGGACAAGAGAGAAGTTTGTAGTGTGAGGTGAATTTACATCTGAACAGATGAAAAACATTGAGTCACACCACACAGCTCTTACTTAGATTTCTCTGTCATGAGTGTACAGCATGTGAAGCTTGCCAACAAGTCTGCATTCATGTTTATTGCTTGTTTCCGTCACATAAATTCAGCAGTAGCTTTTTTGTTGCTTGTTCATGTAGCGCGCACCTCAATAAATGACAAGAATCACTTCTTGAACAACAGATCGTCATGCAGCCAAGTACACTAAAAAACATACTGGATGCACCCTTTATGTTTTTCCAGTAGAGACCCCATTTTTCATTCTGCTCCAAAGACAGTGTTCAAACACTTTCTATTTTGACAAAGAATATGAAATATGAATTTAGACCTTAAAATCTAATATTTATCTATAAGCCCAAAACTTATAATCGTCAGATTCTCCTAACAGGCAGTATCTAATGATTTTGTAAACTATTTGTCACACAATTTACAATCTCTTTTTCTTATTTACAGAGACCTATGGGACGAACATGCTTGCATTACTGATCAGCTGGTATAACATCGACATCTTTTTATGAGCAAACAAAAGTATTAAAATGTTAAATGACATGAAAGTACATTAGATATATTGTGTAGGTTGTGTTAATGTACTTATTGTGACACATTTGCATTTTAATAAAAAAATACACAAACACATAACAAATGTAGTTTCCATTTTATTCTATTCTATTCTGATTAAGAAAAACATAATTGGAGATATACTTGTACATTCAGAAGACCTGGTACATCTCAGGCAGCATTACATCATTAATGTATCACTAAAAGTGCCATGTTATATTTTTGGCACTTGATAAAATCCCTTAGCCCTATACTCTCTCTGCTTTAGTGCTAGGACTTATTTGCATCTTTAGTCGATAAAGCACTGCACTGTGATATCTCTTATTGAAGGACATTTTTATGACACTTTTAGGTGTCTGCATTCTGGACACACTTCTGCCCTCACTTTACAGCCAGCAATTAAAACATAAAGTTTGAAGGTAATTGCAGTGAGTAATATTTCAGAATAATGCAAATCTGGATAAAAAGACATCAATTTTGATTTCACCTGAGTAATAATGGTCAGGGCAGGGTGACCGAGTACAGCAATAATAACAAAACATTGTGCTAAGAGCTTCTATTCAACCTCTGTTTCCCCAGTGATTGGAAAAGCTGGACTAGCAATAAATGGGTTTTATAGCTGATTAATCTTCTGCAGACGTACTGTAAACTGGCCAAGCTGAAAGTTGTTTCTTTTTTACATTTTTTTTATCTTATTCTATTCTATTTATGTCATGTTTTTAATTTTCTATATGCAGATATGTAAGAGAATCCAACACTCTTACTCAGCTATTATTGTTCAACCCTAAATCAGAGTAGGGAGAGATATATGAATAGGATTCTCACTCAAGTTTAATGGTGCGGATAAAATACCTGAATTCATGCCCACCCTCTCTCATATAAATGATTTATATGCAAAAGTCGTATTTTCTACAAGTGTGATGAGGCAAACAAGTTGAGAGGAAGCAATAATTCCCTGTTTTTTATGAGGACTTTCTCACCTGATTCTTCAAATTCTTTATAAAGCAACCCCCATGTCTCTGTTATTCTCTCCAGGCTCTCCTCCATGGCTTGGATGTCCATGTAGGGGCAGTTGCACTCTGGAAACTTGGGATCACAGTTGCACCAGCAATCATTGTCCTTGCAGACAAACTCGCCCTCTCCATTGCAGGCTATGTAGCTGAGAGCAGCCTGCACAAAACTTTCTCTCAGATAGTCTGGTAGGATCACTTGCAAGCCTGTAAAATCAAGCTGGTTTTAGTACTGCCATGAAGATGTGCATGAAGGGAGTGACAGTGAAAGTGCAGGGGGGGGTTGGGGGTCATAAAGAGCTGATAACTTACTTAATAAAATCTACAAATCTATAAATCTGTGTGCCAAACACATGTATTTGGAAACATACAAAAAGAGACAGAGAGAGAGAGAGAGAAAAACAGGTAAAGATTTTACAAACCTTGCAGCTGGACTTTATTTTCAGGACTCTGAACGAGGACAGAACTGACGGAGTCAAGGTTGTCATAGTTACTACACCCGAGAGGGCCTGTTCGCGTCTCAGTCACCTGGGCAACAACAAAATGTAATTTATAACTACTCCACTTTATTCATTTTAGCAAAGTACATCGCTAACCTAAAGAGTACTCTTACTTGATGAGAAAAGAAAAATGTTTCTAGGGTAATGTAAATTGGTATTCCTGTTCTCTTAAAATAAAGCCATTTTAACATAATCAATTGTACATTTGAATGTAAAATAAGTAAGCTCCTTTCTGCTGAAAGGAGCTGAAGGAGCACTTTGCTGTTCTCATTTTAAAGCAAGAATAGTTCCACACTATTCATTTATTTATTTTGGCTAAGCCCCTAATTAAGGACATTCCAAATGACTCTTGCCACAAAGCCCCTTTCTTCACTTCATCTCCAAGAGCCTATTTTACCTGTTCCTATTCTCTTATGGTGACAGTGACGTGCATCTAAGTAGATCTCGTTTTTCTCTCTGTCGTTTTTTGACTTTGTATTTTGCTTAGCAATTTTGTCCAACTCAGGCTTGTTTGGAGACAGTTGTTGTGGACAGATGGATGAGGCGAGATAATTGGGATAAGTTGATAAGTAAGATAATCATAAAGGGATGAATAAAAAACTGTTGTTGCATGTATGTACAAACTCAGTATTCTCTTATAAAACAGCATAAAACATAGGAACAAAAAGACAAATAGAATGACAAAACATCCTTTCTTCAAAACAGAAGGAAAGGGGAATTGCTTCACTGAATGTCTTAAAATACACTTAAATATCACTTTATTAATCTCAATGCTTATATGAATGCGAGGAAATGAGACACAATGCTAGATTCTAAACTACATGCATATTTAATCCTTAAAAGGAATTTTTTGATGAGCCATATGATATGCCATATGGAAAAAACACTGAATGATGATCAGGACATTCAATTTCCGCTTTGCTTAGCAGCTGCCTTTCACTGCTGATACATTCTGGTATATTACAAAAAGCTTAATAGGACATTATTAGCCACCTGTCTGTAGGCCTATGATAAAATTTGGAAGCACTGTGGATGGAGGAATATTGTGGTAGACTGCTCTCCTCTTTGTTAAACAGTGTCTCTCATGATGTGGGAACTTGATGCTCTGTGTACACTGAGGCAGAAATATGCCATATATTTTCAAGATTTTTGTTTTTTTTTATTTACAAAAAAAATACATCTTTTCTTATTAGGTAGAGATAATGTGTTTTGCTAGGGTATCTCAATTGAGAAATTTAGAACAAACAAAAATAGAGAAAAAATATTTTTGATGTTTTATAGAGAATATAAAACATCAGGAGGTTTCAAATATGACAGCAGAAGCCATCGCCATGTTCAGCTATTACCCACAGCGCTAGATACTGACATATTATTTACATTATTTAAAAATATTTTTACATCATATGTTTATTCACAAGCCATTTTTAGGATGTTACCTGATTTGGAAATGTTATGCAAATTTAATAAGTGTGACTGAAGCATTTTTTTTTTTTTTACCTTTTTCATAACAATTTAATAGCCCATCAACCTATAAAGCATATGTGTATGGTCTGTCCACATTAATTGATTCCATATACATGGGCACAACAGTTGTGGTTGTTTTTTGTTTTTGTTTTCTTTTGTTTGTTTTTTTTGATACTTTAATCCATTGGACCCAACATTTTTCAATGTTAAATAAATGTGATCTCTAGTGATACTGATAAATCAATCCTATGGACAGAAAATTGTCGATTTTTTTATGTGGGTTTGAGAATAAATTCAGGCTGAACACTTAAAGCAGGACATACAAAATATGCTATAAATGGAAAGATGCACAGCTTTGTAAATTTAAGTATAAGTAGATTTTCATGTGGTAACAGAATAACACAGCTGAATTGAGAGTAAATTATTTAATCTGTTTAAATTGTATCATCCCACAGGAATAAAGGAGACTTATAGTTTAGAATTTTAGGTAATTTTACATGATTTGGTCTTCCTACAAATTTCAAATTTGTTAGGATCTGAAAAGTGCAGTTTGGTGCCTGGACAGTACATCTACGCAGCACACACTATTTGCTCAAAAGACACTGCTTTTTTATTATGGGAATCATATTAAAAAAGCAGAAATAGGCAGAGCAGAAATGTGAAGTTATTAACACAGTCAACTCACAATAAGTATGAAGTTCTTAATGAATATACTTTGGTATTTCCCCACTATAGCCAATCCATTTGGTCATGGAACAGACAGAGATCAATAGAGAGAGACTGGGTACACAGAAATGTGTTTGTCATTACAAGAGTGCAATAAATCTAGAGGCAAGCCATCGGATGGCAGGATAAAATTAAAGGTCCCTGCTGTTCTCTTGGTCAAGACTGAAGCCGTGTTTATCACTTTGTGTAGACTGACTGGCAAACAACATTTGAGTAACGCAGAAGAATCTATATTGATTTGATTCACAAAAATTGCAAGGTGCAACAAAAATACATCCCTTTGCTCATGGATATATCTGAAGGCATTACTCTTTGTACAAACAAGCAGATCCAATCAGAAAACTTCCCCACCACCAACAAATCCTGGAAAAATTCTACATTTCAAAGGCATCGTGATGCATTTATACTCCTCAAAAATGAGCTTCAATTTGCAATTTTTATGGCTGAAGCATGCAGGCAATGCCTCATCGGTCTTTTCTCATTCATTCCTCAGCTTGCTAGATTTTAGATTTATGCAGAGAGTTCCAATCTGTTCTGCTATCTTGTGGGTCAACGCGTTTTGGAAAGGATGCACAAGTGTGGAAGAATCTGTCACCCCTTTGACTCACTTTCCACTGATTATAAAGGTGAATCTGTGCTTTTTCCACTTTCCACCTGTCAGTCACACAAGATGACTGCCTTTATACTAGCACAAACTCTCTTTCCCTCTGTAACTACAGAAGGAATCCTTGATTCCCAGAAATAAAACAGTCAAAAGCATTTGCCGCAACTCCGCTGGTGTGCCCACTTCTACTGCGAAAACTCATCGTTCTCTGAACAAATTATTGAAACAGCCACAGAGCTTTGACATAAGTGTAGAGAATCTGACTCATATTCTGTTGAAAAGGAGCTACCACAGCCAGCTACCACAGCCAGCTCCCGCTGCGCCCGGAGAACAGAAAATGGCAGAGAAGAGGGACGCCCTTCCCTCTGTCACCCTATTAACCCCATGCTACCTGAAGGTGACAACTGGAGCTTGTGACTTGTCCCCAGCCGTGTTTCACTGGACTCATTTATCTTCCCCCTCACCATATGTGCCCATCATGGTGCTTCCTGCAGACTCAATGTGCTCAAAGCAGCTGATGATCATATTTCATCACAAGCAGGCGAATAAAAGGAACATTTCTCTTTTTAGCTCTCATTGATGTTGTAATGGCGTTTTACTAAGGACATTAAGTATGGCAACTGTGCACAACAAGCCATCTTTCTGATGTTAAATTTGAATCTGAAATTCAAATGTGTAAGATTGAGCATTGATTTGCTTAAAATGTGTTCAAACAGTTTGAAATGAGCCCAGTTTAAACAATAATACATATATAAAAAATATGCACACATTTGATCTGTGTAAACTTTAATCAATATTTCTATGTACACTTGTACTATGTTTGATAGCTAAAAGACAATAAGTGAGAGAAAAAAAAAACAATTATTAATAAATCCACACATTTTAGTTTTAGATTTTGATAAACCTTTTCTAACATGCTGACAACCACAATTACAACATGCTGGGGATTTGACTGTAAGAGTAGAGGGGTTTAGCTTGTTAGACATTTTGGTTGCAGTATTTGTGCTTTGTCAAAAAACTGGGTGAAATTACTGATCCCTGTAAGGATTTGGTATCATAATGTTTGAATGTATTTCTTATGGCATTTATATAGATGAGCTAATAATTGTTGATGGTTCTCCTCGCCAACAGCTGGTTTTCTGTTTTTTTTTTTGTTTTTGTTTTTTGTGTCATTTATTGACCTTAGTCAGACAGGAAATAGGCTAGTTGCCTTAGGACCATACACAGCTTTGAGATAAAAAGTTTTTTTTTTAGTTTTTTTTTTTATTTAACTTTACATTTTACTGTGAATTTTCTTCTGTGCTTTTTGCACTATATAATATGAAATGATATGACTGAAAATAGTCTAAAACAGTTGTCCATGATAAAGATGAATTTTTAGTCTAAGAGAATACTCAAATGTTCAAAGATACTCAAAATTAATAAATGTAATTTATAAATGTGAATAGGAGGGAAAACAAGAAATTGCCAGGTGTGAGATAGAGAATTAAGCTATTTTCTAGCTACCTGTGGAGACTTTTGTCAATAAATCAGTGAGGTTTTTTAATGTGTCATTGTTTTATTTGAGAGTCAATGTAGATGGAAAATGTGATAGTATGTACATTTCCTGCCATAAATAATATCTTTAAAAAATCTTGAGGAAAAAGTCATTACCTTTATGGCAGTGGAGGCAATCTGGATGTGGTGCAGTTTGCGCAGAGTGCTCTCCCTGTCAATGAAGTAAGAAGCGGCGAGCTGGTGCAGAGCTTCCAGAGTCACAGTAGAGGAGTTACCAGAGAAATCGCTCACCTCTGCTTTCTTACTCAGCTTCCTTTTGTCCACAAATATTGTGAGGGCCTCTTCCCCTGCGTGGAAAAAGCACAGAATTTATCTCGTTGTTTTATTAAGTGAATCAGAGGTGCATCAGAGCCTTGCAATAACCTTTCTCTGAACTTTCAAGAGAATATTCTGCAGTGGCATGTTTAAAAATTAAGAGTGGTCTGTGTGATTTCAGACATTTTCTCTGGCTTTAACACCCAGAACACATTAAAATGAACTGTTTATCTAAAAGTGACAAAGTGTGATGCTTTCCAAATGTTTGAATAAGAGTGTAGCTCTTCATTGTCTATTTTTGGCACCAGAAGTAATATGAATACTCCCAGAAAACTTCAGTGTCATTAGGTACATGCTTTTGATTGGAAGTCTATTGCTAATGTTTGTAAAATTGCACTTTCACTGTGGCAGCATGTATGAGTAGTTCTATTATGTTTGTTCTGATTTGTTCCTTTTGCAGACTTCTGTTCATATTTTTTTGGATTATTGATTGCTTTTTCAGACAATTACTCCCTTCCGTCTTTGATACTGTCCAGCTGGAAGAATTTTTGCCCCTTTTTTACTATTTTGGCTATTATTAAGATTCATAACCACTGCAACAAGTGTTTTAGATTATGACTGGGAGCAGCTGATTAGCCTTTCAAAAGCTCAACTAGTACCTGAACTACAACCCCACATCCCAGAGGAATTGACAAGGAGGCTTCAGGGATGCAGAGCAGAACCAAAGTACAGAGAGAAAAGGAGGAAGTTCAAACCATCTTTTCCACTGATTATGTTCCCAACACCAGCACCTCTTAGCCTGGCTTTCCAGCCATATGACCAAACTAGGACTTATAGAGTACATGAGGTGGATTAGAAGTGCTTGCTAACAACTGATGGTTTCATCCAGAATATACAGAATATCATCATAATTTTACATATAAGTACAAGTATATTTGCTGCAAAACTGAATTCTACTGGAAATTCTTCCTGGCCACAGCATCAAAGACATTTTGGATCGTATGAGTCATTACAAGATTGCATGTTGGTTTTGGATAAGTAAAGTATTTATGAACTAAGATGAATTATTGGATTAGCTACCTTTGGTCCTGAAATAATTCCATACCGAAGCTGTACATATGTTCCAATATGAAATAAATTATAAAACAAAGGGTGAAAGGATGCACTGTAGTAGGTGAACAAAAGAGTACTGAATAGCAAGTTTGTTTTTTAGTAATGAATCTAACGTGAGGGGAAAAAAATATCAGAGGCAAGTTTCTTTTTTGCTTTATATGTTTTGTTCTGAAATGCCAAAAAAACATAATTTAAGAGTTAAGATTGAAAGATATGCATGTGATCACCACTATGACTACGAGGCTTCAATGTATGAACAGGTTGTCATGAACAATGGACAGTTCACAGTAAAAGGATGATTTCTATTAAATGTTTTTGGCATCTTTTTGGAATTTTACAAATTGCACCCCCAGAAAGCTATGTGAAACACTGAATCTGTCTATTCTTGAAAACTGGTATTTTAGGCCACATACCCTTTGTGTTCATTTTACAAATTGGGATTTTCTAAAATGTTTTATTCAATTTAGATGTCTAATAATTGCTTTGTCAACAAATACTGTTTTACAAACATTGGAGAGAAACCATGACTGGTGGTCAAATTACCAAGATGATGAAAAAATACATGTTAAAAAATGTTTTTCATTAGGTTCTTCAGTTCTCTTCTCTGAAGTAAGCATGATTTATACTGTAGTTCCCAATTTTTATACTTTATGTCATTTAACAAATTTTCAAGCAAGAAACATTTGCACCACAAATACATTCATGGGCAATTTTCAGAAATTAATTAGCAGATTAACAGTGGCTTAACATTAAAACAAAATTAGTTTTGCTCCAGGAGAGCCACTCAAAAATACAGAAAATTATAAGTTTCACGAAACACCAGCACAGCCTTCATAAATACCTCCAAAGCAGAGGGATTCTTGATCATAGCTAGAATAGGCCATGCCACCCAGGATCTAAAGCCACTGATCATAGCAATCGCCTCTTCATAAGTTTAAGGGCTGGGGTGCAGCAGACGGTCTATGCTTTAAGAGTTCCTCAGACACTGCACATCATCTTTCTCATTATAATGCAGTGTTAATGCTTCTGAGTCATTTTTCTGCCAACTGCCTTTCTTGCTCAACTGCTGAAGGGCACACTCCTAATATCACAATCTATTTATTAATTTCATTAAGTCCATATGTTTCTGAACACAGAGGCAATCCATACGGAACTGCAGAGACGTTTCTCGGGCGAAGATCCAAAGCAAACTCCTCATTCTCCTCTGTCTACGACACTAACACTCTGGCTGAGAGCCAGATTGTGGGGCAACATCAGCTCAGGATGCCAGAGATGGTTGCATTATGTACAGCCACTCACAACAGCAACCTTTTCAAAGTAATTGACAAGTGTTGCTTTGTAAAAGCAAATCTCTTTGAGAGAAGCCTCGACCTCTCTGGCATCTTAAAAAGTTTTCCTTTTATTCCTTTTCCTTTTTAGGAAAGTCAGTGAGCCATTAGTGCATGAGCATTCAACAGTCTGTGGAGAAAAAAAAATCAAGCTTTGGATGATCATGACCTGCACAAGTATTTACAAATAAATGGTCTACATTTGTATAGTGCTTTATCAAGTCAGAGGACAACAGAAAGCTCCAAACTACAGTCAGTCATTCCCTCTGACCACCACCAGCAGTCAAGGAGAGAAAATGTCTTGCTGAAAAACAACAATTGAGATTGACTGCGTTACAGGAGTACAGGGGTTCAACCTACATATTAAACCAATATATTAAATTATATTGGGATGTTTTTTGGTTACTCTGAGTAAACTCCAGTACTGTGAATCACCATCTGCTGTCCATACAGAACACCTGGAAGACTTTATTATGTCAAGTTGCACAAGTTAGTGAAGCCAAGATCATCATCTAGAAAAATTATTAATTCAGTAAGATTTCACCCTGGCCCATACTGTATTTTATGAGCTAAATGCTTGGAATCTGAAATTTTTAAATAATTAAAAGAAAAGGAAAGAAGGTACATTCTTGTGGTTTTATTACTTTGTCTTAAGCCAATAGCATTAAAAAAAAGAAAAAGGAAAAATTCCGATTAACTTTGTAGCTTCACCTGTTGTGCACATATAGCATATATTACATACAACAGCATCTATTTCATTTCACTTTGCATTACTGTTGGACGTTCAGTGAAACATAGACATATAAAAAATACGAAATTCCAAAGAAAGAAGTATTTACATAGCTTCCCTTTCTGTGACAGTGTATCAAATCTCTTTCTGACGTTCTCATACTCACATTCATAAATCACACAATAATGGTTGTAGGGCTGTTAGAGTCAATAATGCTCTTGTCTCACACCAGGAACCTCATAAAGTTCAGAGTCTTGCTATAAAAAGCACACTTCTGTAGGGTTCTTCAAGAAAATGTTGCATAACTGACTTCAAAACGTCATTGTACAAAAGCACTTTTGAAGTGAATGTTGTTGATTTATTTATTCCTTGTTAATTTAAAAGGAATTAAGTTAAATTCAACTGGTGAATCCACGCAGAATATATGACTGCATAATATTGCCTTGTCCTTACAGTATCTTCGTATGCACTGATAACATAGCAGGGGACTTTTCAGAATATTAAATGTGCTAGCTATTATTTATTAAGCGTTCACACTTTGCATTCCATTAAAAATTCAATATGTTGGAAGTAGATTTACTGTAATAGATTCCCACACCAGATGCTGTTGAAAAGATCAGAGTATCAGTAGCTCAGGTAAGTGTTGGAAGTGTGTTAATGTCAAACAGAAAAAGAAAATTTATGAACATGTGGACATTCCAAAGCTGACATCATTGCAGCATTCAACAAAAATGCTGCAATGCTAAAACTGCATTCTTGTCTAATTCATTTTCAATGTTAAAAACAAAAATAATCAGTCAGAGATAAGAAGTAATGTTTTTTTCATTTTTTTTTTTTTTTACCTCCAAGTGTTGCTGTTAATAAGAAGTGAGTCCCGTACTTCTTGATCAGATTATCAGTGATCATTTGGGTTGTAGGTCTGCGGCCCAGAAGACGAATGTTTCTGATGAACTCTGGGGTTAAGGGTAACTGTGACTCCAGGAAATCTCTTCTCTCCACTGCAAGGTTGTTCACCTTCCATCGCCCAAACTCCCTGTTAACAATAGTCACACAAGAACAAAAAATAAAGTAAAAAAAGAAAATAAAAACTCCAAAGATTTACATGTGAGTTACTGAAATCAAATGCATTTTCATATGAACTGCTAAAAAATAAAAAGCGTAGTCATTACTTTTTAATATTCTCCAGGGAGGCCAGACTTCTAGAACCCACAAGCTGTTTTTCCACACAAGGTTGTTTATTTTGGTTATGTGCCTATTAATTAAATGTTTAAAGTAACTTATAAAATGGCTGACCAAAAGCAGGAGCCAGGAAAAGAAGATGTAAACAAGCTGATCTTAAAATGTAATTAAACCTGAGAAACATAACTTATCATGGACAATTTTTTAAAATAAACTATCTAATCAGTTCAATTAATTACTTAAAATAATTATTTTAGTTGCCTAATTTATTAATCCATCAGTGAAGACAAACAAACAACATTATCTGCCCTAAACATGACCTGGAAGTCCTGTCAAGTAACAGGACTTCTCAGGATTAAACAGCAGGAACCAGCAAAGTGTGACTGAGAATGAGTTAGCTAAGTACTGGGAGACTGAATGATGAACAAAAGACCCAGACTGATGAGCTAATGGGTTGCAGGTGTGGTGAGAGAGTAGAAATCAGGCAAGAGAGAGAGAGAGAGAGAGAGAGAGAGAGAGAGAGAGAGAGAGAGGAAGTGACACAGGGCACTATGGAGAGCACTCAGGACTAGAAAATTAATCCCACAAAATAACTAAGAAACATAATAAAAGGTAACTAAGAAAGGACTAGACACAATAAATGAACATAACTAGAATCACTAAGGAGGAACTGAAGTAAAAATAGAAACAAGGGAGAACTAATAAAAACAAGTAAGGAGCACAAATGACAAAACAAACTCAAACAACCTCAAATTCAAACCTCAATTCAATATTTTGAACTGGTTACTGATTTTTTGGAAAGCTTAATTAAATTTATGAAGATAAGAAAAAAAAGAGAAAGAATCAGACACAGAAAAATTGGTAAGCCCAGGGCACCATTTATACATGAACTGCCTCTGGGCCTCCGTATTCGGTTGCTTAACTGCTTCCAAAGACTTATCACCTGAAACCAATGAAATCTCTCCTACATGCTCCAAGCATAAAAGAAGCTTTCCTTTGAATACGGCTCCATTTAATGTGAAACTGGATACAAAAAGTCAAACTTGTTCTAATAGAAATAATCTTTCAAACATAAATGCACTGCTCCAGAATTTCCAACATGTTCAACTCCCTTTGCCATGACTTTTACTATATTTTTAAAGCATCTTTCTAATGTAAAGAGAGAACTATTATTGTATACCCACTCATAAAAATATTGGCCTTTAAATAGAATTTAATCTACTACCACATAAATAATGCACATTTTTATGTTTTCATGGAAAAACATGGCCTTTATTTTTTATATTTGGAAAAAACTAAAAATTATGAAGCTGTATTTTTCCATGACAGATGAGCAAACTTAGTCTCCAAGGAAAATGTGAGCTACAATCTTAGACCGGCATTGTTTGCTAAGTCCTTTTCAATTACAGCTGTTACCCAGGAAACGGCTCAGTTGAATATGACAGGGGGCATTTGTCCGTTTTCCATTTAACTTTAGCTTCAGTATTATCAATGTTAGCACAAAACCAGTGAAGGCCAGAGACATATCTGCCATAAATGAATATCCATGCAGGTCATCTTGACTTCAAGCACTTTGCATGGGGGAACAAATCAGGAGTTTATTTTAAAAGTTAACCGAATCACACAACTCTCACTCTGTCTCTATTATCTGTTTCTACAGATTTACACCTTCTACAAATTATATGCCAAGTCAGCTTGTCTCTCCAGTAATGCTATTGAAATGTTTCTTTCATAATTTTTAATTTTAGTTAAATATTTTTTTATGATAAATAATAGTACAGTAAGTCCAAAAATGTTATATTTCTTTCATATTTCTAAGTTAATTGTTGTATTTTGTGTGGACAGCAGAATGACGGGAAGCAAAGCCAGAACTTCAAAGAACCAAGATAAGAAAATAACTATAGACAAATCCAACTTTAAATCCAATGTTCACTTACACTTTATGTAAAACAGCATGTATGTGATGTGGCATAAGAATGGAGGATAAAATGCAAGCATTTTACAACCAAACAACTTAGTTCATCAACTTTAATTGTAGCTCATTAGAATTTATGATTTCAAATTTCAAGCTTTAGCTACAGAAGAGCAACAGTTTGAGGTCATACTCTGGATATTAATTTTCTCTTTTTACAAATGCACTTCATGGACTTCTACAAAGTTTTGAATTCTGAGAAAGACGTCACTGGTGGAAATCAGTGGAAATTGTATCTTATAGATGTGATATTAGGTTTTCTGGTACTGCTTAGTGCCAGGCTTAGGCCAGCCTGGCACTAAGCAGCTACATTCCAGATAATCAGGTGAATATGAGATGAAAGGAAAAATGTTTCTTTGATAACCATAAATCATATTAGACAACATTTTTTTTATTTATTTATTTATTAAAGAAATTCATTTTTAAAGGGCTACATCTGGATGCCTCCTGAAAATCAAATGCTGTCTTGAGTGATAGATTGTTTTTGGTCATACTTCACTGTGCGACCGGAAATAAACCTTTAGTAAATTTATATGAACTGCTTTGTCCAATCAGTCAAATGTTGCACTTCTCTCTTGTCACCGTAAAAGCTTGACTGCTGTAATCAGAAAGGGTTGGGCAACCTTGGCTGCAGATGATGGATGGAAGGAGTGTGGCCTTTTGAAAGGGTATATATCACATTAAACCAGGAGTAATGAGGAAAGCTCGAACACACAGATGTTTAAATGATACAAGGTGTAAATCACTAGGAATTCAAACTATAGCACAGAAAACCTAAAGAGCAGGTAGCACAGATTTGCTTCGCATTTAGTTTTAATTTATTATTACATATTAAGAGAGCCGGAGACGGTTGCACGCGTTGTTAAATGGGAGCTATGAGCAGTATGGGAAGTAAACATAATGATGTTAAATGAAGAAGTGGTGCTCGTTGACCTTTTTGCTGACACTGTAGTATTCAGACAAAGCCACTGACTAATTTCTTGCTCAGACATATCTAGTGTAGTTATAAATCTCCACCTCATTTTATGCTATACAAATAAATGACCTCTTCAAATGGGACACAGTGTCTCCTGAGTTCCACTTTGCAGCATGGAAGCAGAAGTTTAAAGGTGCAGCATGTTCTGTGCAAGAAAAAAAAAAGAGGAATACATAGGGAGGGGGGCTTGGGGGTGATACAGGTACAGAAAGCGTATTCGCAAATCCCTGCCGTCGTTCGTTTCTTCCGTTATCAGTGACTGTGATAAGCTAGCCCTGTCTTATCTTAAAACCTCGATAGGCCAAATGGTTCATCCTGCAGGAAGAGGACGAAATGAAATGGGTTTCACCACAGAGTTGATTTTAGGGTCTGCAATCCCTCCTACAACCACCTAAGTCATTATTATTATCAATTTTATTGTTCCTGTTTGCAGTGGCACATCAGTTTCACAAGTTTAATTCTCAAAGCACTATCTCACTGAGGAGTTCTTAGAATTTATATATTTTTTTCTTCATTTTTTGTAAAAATAGAGCCTCCACTTTCCTCAAAAAGTAAAGTGTAATCAAGAATAAGACGAAAGCACAAATTCTATGCAATTTGTGTGAATTTGCATGCAAAAGAACAGGTTGTATGAATGTTTTTTTTTATTCCCCTCCAGGCTGACAGGAAAGGGGTGAAGACATTCGGCAAATATTGTCGGGTACGGAAATCGAACCTGCAACAGCCTCATCGAGGACTCAAGCCCTCCAAATGTGGGTTGCATTTGGAGGGCACGCCATGAATGTTATTTTTTTGGAAAGAGAAAGTGTATTCATAAAAGTTTTATGTTTTATGATAAAACGTATAAGAACTGGAGACCTTGAGGTCAAAGGGGAGATCACCTTTGAGTGGAAAATAGCATTCTGAACATTGGTAAACAGATGAGGATAGTCGTAATGATTGAAATGGCTGCTCTAAACAATGGAAGCAGCAGAAAAATGGAATACAAGAAAGTCAACAAATACCAAGAGCTCAGGGCAGAGAGAGAGAGCAAGGCAGGTGAAGGTAACAGCAGTACCCATGGTCATTGCAGCACTCAAGGCAGTGACCCCGCCTCACTGGAGATTTAGTTCAAAAGAGACACCATGAAAAACATTGACTGACCTGGGTTGCAAGGCAGGCTGGGTCTGGCACTACAGTGTGAAAGGGGATTTAGTAGCAGATACGTAGGTGGGATAGGGAGGAGTATCGATGCTATTCCTGTAGAAATATGTTTAAAACAGTGTTAAGGCTAAAGTCTTTGTTAAATATTTTTAGAATGGTGGGTTTGCATTTAAGCAGTACATAACAACTGCCTTTTATTTTATTCTATTTTTAAACTTCAAAACTACACATACAGTTTATTATTTTCTTAGACATTGTATGCAATCATATTGTATCCCAATGAAGTAATCAAAGAGATTATCCTAATACAATATGCTTAGAAACGGGCCAAACCTATGTCATCCCTCCTACCTTCACCCTGGTGAACATGGCAGCTTTCCCTTGGCAGCAGTTGCTGTGAACAGGTGGCTCAGGCGGAAGGCCCACATTGTGTTTGTAGTCCAAGCCATGGGGATGCTTTCCAGTGAATTTACAAAGCACACAAACTCAAATATGCTCATGCATCCTCAAAAACACAAATGTTCCTTCATTTAGTTCAACGCAGTAGTTAAACTGCTTTCATATTCAATCAGTAAGAAAAGCAGGGAATTGATTACCTGCATAACGTGGTGCGAATTTATTACTCTATCACTGCTGAGGTGGCTTGTAGGACTGATTCTGGTAATTCATCTTATCCTGTCATTGAGCATTTATTAAAATTTAGCAGAGATATGCATGAGGAAGACCAGTACAAAAAATAATATTGTCACTTCCAATCACAACT